CACGGCTATAAATTATGCCCAGCGTGTTCATTTTCAGTTTAAATGTGTTCTCATCCCAGAGGAGCGACTAATGGCATCAAGTTACTGATGTGAAAAAAGCCTGCCGTTACAATGACTATGGATTAATGAAGTAGCAGTCCTGGAGGCTGGGGTGGCAATAAATTGTCAGCCACTGGTGACATGGATTTTAAATTATGTTCTCTGTCCTTTTTCCCCTTCTCCAAAATCATTTTGCTGTAAAGTTGTTGAATAAATATTTACCTTTACTTAAATGTTTGCTTTCTATTAAAAGTTGAGGCAAGCAAGGCCCCTTCCTCCTAGAAAACTGAAAGCCGGCTCAAGGGATTTAAAAGCCTATCATACTTTTCTAGAAGGCATGAAGCCAATCTCTTAATCCGGGATCATCAATGACTGATAAATTTCATTCAGAAAGTTGGCAAATAGAGCATTTTACCAGTGAACTGTGCCTATTGGCAAGTAAGCTACTATCTTCACTTTTTCTTATGGTCTTTTATTTCCTTAATGAATTTTAAATGAGGAACCAATATAGTTCCCACCAGTTTTTGAAATGTAGCAAGTCTACTTTTCATTTGATGAAGGACTCTAGGGAGTTCAATGATAGACCATGGAGAGTCTGAGAATCCCTGATCCTCCAAGCAAATTGTTTATATGTTTTTCTAGAAAGATAGTCTATAGATTTCATCACATTCCCTAAATATTTTGTAATGGCAAAAACTTTTAAGGGTTACTATGGTAAATTACATACATGGCTATAATTTCTTCCTCTTCATATAGCCAAGCCTTGCAGTGGGATTTTGTAGGTCTTTCTATTGAGAGGAGGAGACTTTATCCATCTTTTGATTTTTGAGTTGGACTTGAGACCAGCTTTGACCCAAAGGATTTCAGCAAATGTAACAGAAGAAAACTTGCAAAGAACTTGGACATTGGGGTTGGCCTACTTACCATTCTTGCTCCTCTACTGCTATGTGAACACTGCGGGGCTAATCCCATGAGCCACATGGCCCAGCCATCCCCAACTTCTCCACTGACCCCCTCCCCACCCCACAGCAACTGCAGACAATGAGCACAACTATGACCAGTCATACCTGCGCCAAACCCAAACAGCGCAGCTCACACTACTGCCCTATGTAATTCTGAGCGAATACACACGATTTTGAGAAACTAACTTTTGGGGTAGTTTATTATGATACAGTGAACACTGATACTGTCTGTGCCAGACATTTTGAGGATGGAAGCAAGTCTTATTTGATTTTTTGTACTCCCTTTTCCTAAATACAGAGGAATGACTCAATATGTGTTTGCTCAGATGGTAGAACGGGCCTTCTCAGGACTGCAATGAAATCCTTCTCTCAAGATCACTTAGTATGTCAAGAGGGATTCCAGAGCACCTGACTCAAGGGCTTAGTTTCCTCACATATAAAGTGTGCTTCAAAATACCTACCTGGTGGTGCTATTGCAGTTGCTGGAGGTCCTATGTGTGTTAGAGACATGGCTGATATGTGACAGGTGGTGATAAGAGCAGAACCGAGCTTATGAAGAGGCATGCAGGATGCCCTGCATGTTTTGATGATTACCTGTGTTCAGCACATGTACTGTAATTCCCAGTTGTCAGCTTTCTCTGCTGCAAAGACTGGTTCCTTCAGAGACCCACATGACATCCTGCTGGCTCCCACTGCCACAGCACTGCCACCTGGCTGGAGGACCTACCATTCCCTCAGTGAGGGCTGTGTCAGGCTCCTGAGCAGGCTGAGGGGAATGAGTTGCTGAGTTTGCCATCAATCTCTGCACTTTGTCCCCTTGCTTGTAAAGTAAGGTGGAAAGCAGCACACTCTCTAAAAGCCCTTTCAGCATGGAGACCCCAGGGCTTGAGTCACTGCCTGCATCTCATCTAAGCATGAAGGACTACGCTGCTCCCAGGATCAGTGAGCCACAAAAGACTTCATTTTTTTTTTATTTGAAAAATAAAAGTGTTTTTAAAAATAGTCTAAAGCAGAAAAGGGGAAGAAAAGTCTAAAGAATTAGAGGGCCAGCCACAGAGCCCAGCAGACTAAAGTGTCTGCTTAGGCAGAGTGCAGCGGCCGGGGTTTGATCCCTGGTGTGCAGTGCTGGCCCCACCTCTGGGGCATGCTGAAAGGGCTATTGAGACTGCCCATGGTGGCGCATGCCTGTAATCCCAGCTCTTGGGAGGGTGAAAACAGGAGGATCACTATGAGTCCTATGTATGTAGTGAGACCCTATAGAACCCGTGCTAAATACATAAAATAAATAAATAAATAAACAAATAAATAAATAAAATAATTGGGAAAAAAGAAAAGAGCAAGTTGATTTGAGTGGATTCTAGAACCTTGCTCCATGCAGGATAAAGGAGCTTTGTGCTGTGCCCATAACATACTGAACCAAAGATTTGGGGAATCACAGAAAAAATGCTCTGGAAAGATAGGACCAATCTGAAGACAACATCATGCAATACAGTAACCATTGTTGAATTCTTATTACTTTAATGAAATTTTGTATCATTTTCAATGCTTTTTGCTTTTTACTATTTTATACTTTTTTTTTACAAAAAGGATAGCACACATAAAGAGTTCATGAGAAAGGTTTATGAAGAGTTATGAGAGATTTGGCTAACATTTTTTTAAAATTGAAACTTCCAGGGCTGGAGAGATAGCTGAGCAGTCTAAGCACTTGTCTGGCAAGCACAATCAGGTTTGATCCCTGGTACTGCAAGCCATGCTGGCCACAAAACCAGGCATGGGGCACACACCTGTAAACTCAGTGCTGGGAAGGCTGAGATAGGAGGATCACTACTGCATAGTGAGACCCTATGCCAAATAAATAAAATTGTAAAAAAAAATTAAAATTGAGACTTTCTGTCCTTTCTAACACCTAAAATGATTTCTCTTTAGGATTTAGGATAAAAATTTTTGTGTTTGATGGGCTGGCCAGATAGCTCAGCAGATTAAAATGCCTGCTTAGGTAGATGCAGGGGCCAGGAGTTCTATCTCTGGCTTGTTGTGTTGGCCCCGCCCCCAGGGTGTGCTGAGAGGGCGAATGAGACTGGGCGTGGTGGCGTGTGCCTGTAATCCCAGTGCTTGGGAAGCTGAAAAATAGGAAGGATCACTATGAATCTGATCTGTGTAGTGAGACCCTGTACTAAATACATTAAAAAAAAAAATTGTGTTTGAGATGTATTTAGAAACAATGCACAAATATATTATTTACCACAAAGAGTAAAGACGTCTCAAAATCCTCCACAATTCTGCAAAATTCTTCTCAAAAGATCCTGGATAGTAAAAGCAATCTTAACTTTAGCCAGGAGGATCACTATGAGTCCAGGCTGCATACTGAGACCCAAAGCTCTCACTATGAACAAAGCTGGAGGCATCCTAATACCTGATTTCAAGACCTGCTACAGGGCCTCATAGTAACCAAGACAACATGGTGTGGCATATAAACAGATGCCCAGATCACTGGAGCAGAAAAGAGACCCCTGAAGTATATCCACGCATCTACAGATAGCTAATTCTTGCAAAAGGGACCAAAAACATGCAGCCTACTCAATAAATGGTGCTGGGAAAACTGGATAGCCTCATGAAAAAGAATGAAACTAGTATTCTCTTTCATCCTGTACAAAAATCAACTTAAAATTGGTCAAAGACAAGAATGTACCACTGGAAACTGAAATGACTGTTGAAGACATAGGGAAAACCCTTTAGCACAGGAAATGAGTCTTTGAACATGACCCCTAAAACACAGGAAACAAAAGACAGACAAGTGGAATTACATCAAACTAAAAGTCTTATGGATAACAGGAAATAGCAGAGTGAAGAGATAAAATATTTGTTAACTATGCAAAATATATAAAGAATTTAAAAAACTTAACAACAATCCCCAAATAATTCTATTACAAGATGGGCAAATGATCTGAATAGGCACTTGTCAAAAGAAATAGATATGGGCAGAAAATATATCTTTAAAGACTCAGTATCATTAGTCACCAGGGAAATGCCAAAAAAAAAAAGAAAGAAAAGAAAAAAATCATGATACTACCTTATTCCAATTAAAATCATTATTATTTAAAAACCAAAAATAACAAATAACAAATTCTAGGAAGGAGTTGCAGCAAAAGGAACTCTCATACACAGTTGGGAGGAATATAAATTACCATGACCATTGTGGAGAATAGTAAGAGGGTTCAAAAACTACAAGGATCCACCTATCCCCCTTCTGGGTGCACAACCAAAGGAAGTCAACAAACCAACATTTACTGTGGCACTATTCACAATAGTCGTGATACAAAATCTAGCTGGGAGCTCATTGAGAAATGGATAAAGAAAATGTTGTCTAAACACACAGTGGGATATTATTCTACCATAAAGAAGAATGAAATCCTATTATGTACAGCAAAATGAATGCAGGAAGTTATTATGTTAAGTGGAATAATCCAGGCACAGAAAGACACGCACCACATGGTTTCTCTCATATATGGAAGTCAAAGAAAAATAAGTTGAATCAAATGTAGAAAACTGATCCCCAGAAGCCAAGAACTCAGGAGAGGAAGCGGGCTAAAGGGCAGCTGGATATGCACAACACACACTGCATGCAAGTATCGAAATATTACGCTGCAGGGGCTGGGGAGATGGCTCAGCAGAATAAGCACTTGCCTGGCAAGCGCAAGGGCCTGAGTTCAATCCCTGGTTAAAAAAAAAAAAAAAAATTACACTGAGTCCTATTAATATATGCAATTAATATATGTTAATCAAAACTAAATAATGAAAATTATTTTTTAAAAAGTGGATAGTAAGTTTATGTTTGAAAACAAATATGAATATAATGATTTTTATCCAATTATCTCTACATATATCCAAAGAGAAAATTACAACTCATTCTGTCTTGCTTTTAATAGAATTTTTAATCTGGAATAGTGAGATCTTAAACATTAAAATCAGCACTAAGCAAGCAAACAAAACAGTTAGATGGCATCCTCAACTTTTTCATTTATTATAATCATGCTTCACTACAACTGATTCTTAGAGTTGACAAACTATGTCTTCCTTCGTTTACCTACTCAACACCGAATAGCACTGTCAAAAGGGGAGATTCACACAGCGGACATGGTAGTGTATGACCGCAGGAAGGCATCTGATAAGGGCATAGGCCATCTCCATCTCCATCCGGCTTTTCTTAGGATGCTCTTATGTTGGCGTCACATTCTTCTAAGAGCAGAATCAAATCTTCAATCAGGCTGTGTTCTCTGCCGTGGGTCACTCGCATAATGTCAAAAGCCTAAAGGAAAGAAGAGCAGACAGATTAGACCCCCAAACAGGTGAGTCCCTGTCCACTTTGTTTCCCCTGGAAGTGGGGGTCTGGTGACCTTCAGGTGTACAGGCTGAGTGGTCTTGGAAAGGCTCACTGCACTGTGGTGGTAGAGCCATGGTGTAAGTCACAGGAAAGCAGCCTCGGACGCAACTGGCCCAGGGATCAGTCGTGACCTTCAAGAGTTGTTTCAGCACATGGGTTTAGGTGCTTAAGAATTCCTCCTGAGGTGAATAAGTTACATGAAAGAAAAACTATGCTGATGTCTCCACCTCCTTGTGATCATTTTTTCTGTTTTGCATGCTGTATTTGGTTCTCACAAATGGGCACTGGTGCCTGTTGTACACACACATCACTGTGTTCTTTTCATAGCACATGATGCCAAAAGCGTGGCTTCCCCCTCCTTCACTTTTCATTTTCAGCCCATCACCAAATCACGTCAATTCTACCTCTAAAATATTTTTGAAGTTAGGGTGTGCTGTGACTGCTCCAACAGGAGAGCCCCGCAGGAGTAACACAGGCCACTTGCGGCCACAGTACGGACTCTCTAGCTCACGCAGCTGGGTTTGTTCCTGGAGCTCCAGCTTCCACGCTGGGGGAAGCCAGAGTGCAGAGAACCCTGATAGTTCCATGCCAAGGCACTCTAGCCAGGACCTCACATAGCGCACAGAGAAGCCTCCAGGGGGTTTTGGTGCCTGGTCAGAACTCAGCCTATGGAAACTCCAGAGGAAACAGTAGGTGTCATGGAAAGACACAAAGCTGCTCCTGCTGTGCTCTATCCCAGCTTCGGACCCACAGACTGTGAGCATACTGTTGTTGCCACTTTGCTCTGTAGAGTTTTGGATGGCTTATTATGGAGAAATAAATAACTAGAACACCCTAAAAAATGTCTTCATGATAAATGAATTAAAGACAGACAGCAACATCTTGCATTGCCCAAGTGGGGCCTGGGGTGGGCTGTGGGAAGGATGTGACTGGTGGCACCTAGTACAGCACCTGCAGAATACTGAGGCTCAGCCGTGGCTGTATTCTAGTCTCACTTGGGCAGTGCCATGATTCATGAAGCCCAGAGTCCACACATGACCCAATGAAACGTGCTCTCTGGGAGCCAGACTGGAGTGCCAGGAGAGACTCAGATGCCCTGAGCTGTGAATAATCAATACAGCAACTCAACAAATCACAGCAACTATTCATTACTCACTGTTAATTTACAGTCAGCACAATTACCATTTTAATGGCTCTATACAATTAATGTCATCATGTTTATAGGCCATTATTTAATAAAGTACTCTTGGAAATTTAGATCTTTTCATTTTTTATTATGATGATGTAGATCTTCCAGCCTATAACAATTTTTTCACCTTTGTTAAATATTTACTTGAGGTTTATTTTTTGGTTTTCTGTTTGGTACTTGAGGTAAATTCCTGGGGGTAGGACAGGGTATGGACATCTGAAAAGGCACAGACTTCTGGAGGGAGGGGGTACCTCACTGGTCAAGCATCAAGGCCCCTTTGTTCTCATTTCAGTGCAGTCAGGGAGTGTGTGTGTGCATGTTCATGTGTGTGTGTGGTGGCTGTCAGCCTGCCTTCCTGGCCTTTAAAAAGTTCCCCCTATATTACAGGAAAGGACAGCAAGCTGACAGAAGCAGTCTCTAGTTAGCTGCTTTGAGAGAGGGAGAAGGACAAAAGAACAGGAAAGTTCAGCCTGAAAGAGAGCTCGGCTCCTTGACCAGGGGTCCAGCTGTCACCTGCAGTAGCAGTCAAGGTCCCAGAAGGAGGTGGGGATGAAGGTGCAGAGCGAACACCAACAGGTCCTGAAGTGGGGGTCCTAGAGGGCAAGAGAGGCCTCAGGAGCAGCCCACCTCACAGGCAGCCAGGCTTTGTGCATTCCTCCAGGCAGCAGGTTAGAAATAGATATCTGATACCATTCAGCCAGCATGGACCTTGTGTTTTATCCCATCCCCAACTACTGCCCTCTACTGTTCTGAACACCCTAAGGTCCAAGGCAGAGACCTGTGTGATACTGTGACTGTAAGGGAGGGAGGGAAGGGGGACTGCTCACTTGGAAAGCCTTCCTGGGAAATCCTCCTACTTCAAAGCTGCCTTAGATGTGCTCTTCCTTTTTACACAGCAGAGGCAGGATGTGCTGTGATGTGGCAGAGAAGGACAAATGGAGTGTAAGCAGGGCCTGAAAGGCTCTTTGCAGAAGGGGGCATTGCCCTCCACCCTGAAAGGAGGCAGGCCTGGTCCCCGGGCTCACCTCCCTCCTGCCTGCACAGCGCCCTCTGCCAGCGAGGTCTGGGCATAGCCCAAATGCCCACAGCCATTGCTTTGCTGGGGATCTCCAGTACAGGAGGACTGACTGGTCTCTGCTTCTGTGTGATTTGCTTCACTGACTAAATGACAAAACCATCTTCTTGCCAACGTGACAGTATGAGGCTGACCCACCTGTTTTCAAATGTAATTCTGGCTCTATTCTTTCTTCTTCGCTCCTTTCTTCTGGTTCTGGTCCTAAGTTTCACTTTCTCCTCAGTTTCAGCTTTAAGAATAAGATCTCTCAAAGGCCACAGTTCACCGGCACACATCTGGGGTCCTTCTATCCACTGAAGGATGGACCTGCCCTCTGACAGCAGGACATGAGTCCACAGGGGGCATGCAGCTCAGCCATTCTGAGTCACAGAGCCTCAGGGGGACTGCCTGGCCTCCTGGCCCACCTACTTAGGGCAGGGCCAGGAGCCCAGTCAGTCCATCACGTTCCTGTTAGACAAGCACCACTCCTAAGGTTGCATGGCCTGAGAAGGGGGACGAAGGGCACTGTGTGGCTCTTGGGACTCATCTGTCCATCCCAGCATCCATGTGGACCTCCACCAGAAAACAGCCTGCGGTGGCAAAGGAGGACCAGGGGCTCCTGGATGTGGCTTCGGAGGCTCCCCAAGGGCCACAGAGGATGGTCAAGATGCTGCCAGCTGTGCTTTGCACTCTATTATTTGGTGGCAACTGTGACACTGGGAGCAGAGGTAGGCAGGGGCAGCACCACGTGCATCTGTGCAGTTTGAGAGTCCTGTCTCTGGGATCTTCCTGCCCAAGATGGCTGGGAGCAGTGAGGCAGTGGGGCCACGGGGGCAGAGGACTACTGTGAAGAGACTGAGACACCCTACATCATTGTCTAAAATGCAAAACTGAATATAGATGATTAGCTAACAAATATTATGATTTCTTCTGGGTGATGGGCAGATATAGAAGAGAACAGGAAAGAAAGGAAAAAAAGAAACTCAGTTATAGGCAAAGTATGTCTGTAATACTTGTGTTGTGGACGTGTATGAATGATGTGACACACTGGGTAGACAGGGAGCTACCCCCCAGGCCCAATGGAAGAGGAGCTCCTACAGGATGTCACCTGGAGCTGCTCCCTGGGATGCAGGAGTGGGGGGGTGGGGAGCTGGCAGAGGAGAGGGGACCTCGTGGCCCCAGGCACAGCTCTTCAGCCCAGGGGGAGGACGAAAAAAAGTTCCAATAAATCTCTGACACACCAGAGCAACTGTTTCCAGTAGCTATATCTCCCTCTTTGCAGCACCTCCCAAATGCATACACGCCGTGTCAGGGAAGACAATTTCAGTTTAATTTCCTGCAGCAGCATACAAAACAGATTAAGGAAATATAAAATTGGAGCCAGCTTGTGTTGGGAAAAGCTTATCTCTTTCCATTAAATTTTATTTTTTTAACGGTAGCATTTAAAAAGAGCCTGTGCACAATCTTCCACAGAGGACTCATTTGAAAGCTCTAGGGGGGAGGGGCACTGCACCCATGTATATATTCTAAATGTCACACAAGAAATGGCAGTGTAGATTGTCTGCCACCAGACAGGCACATGATTCACTGAGGAATAAAGAAAGGGTCCCCAGAGCTGATTTCAATCTCATCACATATTTTTTTAAAGTAATTTTAGAATTGTTGCCATATATTAAATAAAATGAATCAAATCAACTTGTGATTCAAAGTTGGAGACAATATGGCTTTCATATTAATTTTTAATACAAATATATTAAGCTTATCAAAGATCTCATATAATTTCTACAGTAAGCCTGAGGAATCCAATAAATGACTTCCTCAAGCATGATTTAAATATGGATATAAAATCAGGGGGAAAAGAAATGCATGCATGATAAGAACCTCTGGAGTCACATCACAACAGGAAGCTTCCAATACAGAAGCGAGCTTCCTTATTCTGTCTGTCTCAGGAGCACAGGGTGGGCGTAGGAAATATAACCAAGAGCCAGTTCCAGAGCCATTAAAAATCTCTTTACAAAGGGCCAAAAATCCCAAAGTCTTTGATTACCTATCTGGGCTCAGCAGCGCCCCTGCTGACCCTAGTGCACAACCCAGTAAAGGCATTTGTCTCCTTGGGAGGTAGACTGTCCTGGTAGAAAACATCTGTTCATTTATTCATTCAATTCTGCCTGACTAGCTCTCAGGGGTGAGGCTTGGCCTTTGCCCTGGGAGGAGCTCTGGCACAATTAGGAGACAGAATGTAACTACTGGGTCCTTCCAGTGAAGCAAAATGCAAAGTGCTGGGACAGCCAGAGGAGGGAGGGACCCGAGCTGCCTAGGGAACTTCAGGAGGGGGTCACAGATGTAGGGGGCTCAGATGTAGTAACTTCCAGTGCTAGTAACTAATACAGAAAAACAGTTGCTGTGTGTCACTACATTTAATCAATCAAATGAATATGAAGTACCCGAGAGACCTCCAAGAAGTCATCTCTTTCCTGAGCTTCAGTTTCCTCAAATAAATGAAGACAAGAGAAATTCTAAGGCAATGGAGTCCCAGTGGCATTTACAATGTACCAAACTAGACATAGAGCTAAAGGGTATAGATTTGGTTTTATTTCCTGATAATTCAATTCCATTTGGGTTGGAAAATTTATTTTGTATGACTTGAATCTTTTTACATTTATTGAGATTGTTTTATGGCTC